CAACCTCAAACTCTGGGGCTCAAGTGATCCTCTTGCCTCAGCCTCCAAGTAGCTGGGACTACAGGCGCCTGCCAGAACACCCAGCTTTTTTTTTTTTTTTTTTTTTTTCCTGCAGTTTTTTTGGCCAGGGCTGGGTTTGAACTCACCACCTCTGGCATATGGGGCTGGTGCCCTACTCCTTTGAGCCACAGGTGCTGCCTACCCAGGTATTTTTTTAGAGATGAGGTCTCGCTCTTGCTCAGGCTGGTCTTGAACTCAGGAGCTCAAGCAGTCCACCAGCCTCTCCCTCTCAGAGTGCAAGTAAACTTTTAAATTAAAGTTTAAGATATCTTAAATAAAGCTTGATAAAATGGACTCACACATGCAATGGATACCTGGATCAAACAGAACATTACCAGCCCCTGAGAAGTCCCTCTTTAACACCTCTCAATTGCTATCCACCAAAGGAATTACTATTCTAGTATGTATCACCCTGGATTAGTTTTTCTCGCTTTTGAATGTTACATATGTTGAATTAGATACTAGACATTCTTTTTCTCTTTTGCTTCAACATTTGTGAGATTCCCCTAGGTTGTTGCATGTTGCAAACATTCATTTATTTTCATTGCTATATGGCATGCCATTGGATGAATATGCCACACTTTATCCATTCTATTTTTTTTTCTTTTTTGAGGCAGCCTTGCTCTGTGGCCCAGGCTAGAGTGCAATGGCATGGTCATAGCTCACTGAAACCTCTAACTCCTGGGCTAAAGTGATCCTCCTGCTTCATTTTCCCAAGTATTTGGGACTGTAGTCATGCACCACCACACCCAGCTGTTTTTAGTAGAGATGGGTTTTATTGTTGCTCAGGCTGGTCTCCTGAGCTCAAGTGATCCTTCTGTGTAGGCTGCCTAGAGTACTGGGAGTATAAGCATGAGCCACAGCTCTTGGCCCTACTTTTATCATTATTATTATTATTTTTTGTTTTTGTTTTTTTTTTTTTTTTTTTGAGACAGAGCCTCAA